AGGAAACCTGTTGTTGCGTAATACGATGATGCAACGTGGATGATAACAATGTACGACAATACACGCTGGATTAACTTAATTATAGCGCGCGACGGGTTAACGTTATTTATATTTGCCCTTCTAGTCTTTGTCTTCTGGGTCAGCCCTCTTTCTATCACATTTTCGACTTACGTCCATTCATCCAGGATCTATAACCCAGTGTCGATATTTGGTTGAGTAAAATGTTTCTTCTTCCTGTCATAAATATTAATAATAAAGTATTGAATTATTTCCAGAAATTTTAAAATGCCTGTTACCTATAAATACCTATAAATATAAGTTACATATAAAAACATGAAGATACTTTTTATAATAAAACATATTATTTCGTAAACGTTCTATCAATGTTAGTCTTCATGAAACTTCGAATACGTAATAATTTCAGGGCGATGATATCAATTTAATTACCGATTGTGATGCAGGCCAATTACGGTTTGTTTTTTACACCGAAGTGCAAAACTAATCTGTACCCAAGACGATCGTCAAGCAGCAATTTTCCTGTCGACGGTAATCGCGTTACACTGCAGCTCGCCTGCATTCAATTACTTTAATCGACTAAACTGCACGCTAATTGCATTAATTTAAATTACTGTTCTTACACGGGAGAGAAATGCTTCTGAGTTTGTTAATAATTTGGTAGTAATCAGAGTTTCTTTCTTCCTTAGTTAGCAGTTTTCAGACTTCCAAACACGCAGCCCCTAAGTATTGTTCGGGGCGATGTCAAGAATAATAGAAACCTTGAGAACTGATTCTGTTGATTAAACCGTGCTCTCATGGCAGCGGAATGAAATTACGTAGCGTTCCGACTGCGTGAAAATGAATAACACGACGGGAATCGTTGCAATTACGAACGGGAGCGTTCAATGAATTTTTTAAGGGGTTTTTCAGATGTGACGATCGAAAAATTAAGCATACTTTAGAAATTCTTTTCGAGGTCTATGAAATAAGGAAGGATTCCAATATATTTCTATTGATAATACTATTTAAGAAGAATATAAAAATATTTTTGTATGAACTTTGTAGAATTTATTTATTGATATATATTATCGTTAAAATAGATTCTGTCGATGTAGGTACCTTTATTGTTGCCTTTGGCAAAAATGCAGATACTTTATTAAATTATAGGAAACGAAATACACCAGGAACAACATGATAACAGATAGTCTAACAATTTTCAAAAGTTTCTGTTTGGTCCTCAGAGGAACCTTTTCGTGTTTTGTAATATAATTTCGTTTCATATTTTTATTTTAACGTATATTTTAATTTAACGTCGAATTCTTTATCACTGGTACAAATATTGCAAGCTTGTACGAAAATTCTTTTTTTTCTCATCGGGTTGATTTATCGTTGATTCGTACTACTGATCGATATTAATTTGCATAGTACGAGGAAGACATACACTCCATATTGCAAGGCATACTATTCATTAAATTTAGCAAAAAGTAACAGTCGAACCGCTGTCAAGAAATGATTACAAATTTTTATTCATAGTATTCATTTATGTAATGCATTCCACTGCGATTCTCGTCTGAATATGGTAATAAAGAAACTCAGACATTTTTCATCATATTCGACCACCGCGATTTCAGATGCATTTCATCGGATCTGGATTCGACGTCAAAAATACCGCGCTATTTGCCGGAGTTGATTGCCTTCATTGAATCCTCGCTTCTCTGACATCGAATCTTTTTTCATCTTCGACTCAAGATATCTCTCCAACGCCGAGAGTTTTCTCCCAAGAAATCACTTATCCGTCAATTTATCGTCGGGATCACTGAAAGCAGTTTTATCATTATTGAATCAAAGGCCACAAGTGAATAATATCATATACTAGGGAATCTATAAAATAGTACGATAAAATACAATAACTCATATTAGGTGTACTGGAAAGTAATGTCGTTTTTGCCATCGTAAATACTTGTTTATCATTTATCAGCTCATTGATTTTTCTGGCATTGAAAATTTGCACACTAAGTGACAAAAGGCTGTTGGCAATGAGGGCGATTATATAACGAATTAAAGATAGAAATTTATAGGAAAGTTTGAATTTAATGTAAAAGAAACGACATTACTTTTTGCTCTATCTAATACATACATACAGATATATCTATAATAAGATATATATGTATATAATGCACAAAATAATACATACATTGTATTAGACATCGATATACATATATATCACTATATATATCACATATGCAAACGTACATATGTATGCACATATGTATATTTTTGCTGTTGTATGTATAATATATTGTATGCAATATGGATGCATGGTGCATATATGTGATACACAGACACATGCTGATATTAACGACAGTGACATATCGATGACGATAGCAATAACAACATCTATCCTTTTCGAATATATCCTGTAACTTTAAATCCATTCTGCATATAAATGCACACCTATATTTAAAACATGCAAATGCATAAGAATACACAGTCTAGTCACCATATCCACTACGATTTTATACCATCAGTAGTGATCCGAATAGTCGTTACACAATTTCCCCTGTAATGATTTCTCGTCCTTTCGACGAGGTATCTCGTGAATCTTGTTCCTCGATAGACCTTAGCTCGAGTTTGTTTCGTTGCAGCTAAACTCGCAGCCCTGGATTCGTTAATTCCGCTCGGAGCCGGCGTCCACGGATCACGTCGCTCCGTGGCGTTTTAAGAACTACGTCAACCGGAGCAATTGAGATCATCGTGTTCTTGCGTTCCCTTGTCCGCGCAACGCTTATAACTCCCGACGGACTTTCGCCAGACCGAATTAGGAACGAGGATCACGCACTTAATTCCCGGCTTTGCACGATCCTCCGCGTTCCATGCACGGAAATGAAAACAAGGGCCCCCGTCCCGTTGTCGATTTCTCTTCTTCGTTCCATTTGTTTGCTTGCTCTCGAACTGGGTGAAGGCGAAAGGCCATCTCTTTTCTTCTGGGAGCACCGTTGCCCGAGGGTGACTCAATAACAACTATCACCCCGAAAATAACGATGCGACGGTGATACTATATTCGATTTATTCAACCATGTCACGAAAACTTGAATATTAATGTAAAATCGAATATGTTTCCTACGCATCGAAGTTATATCGACGAATATGAAGATAATGACGAAGACGTTGGCGGTGGAGATGACTGTATATAACGACTAGACTGTGGGCCTTTATGTAAAAATAATATCATTGCAAACGTACCTACCAAAATTGAAACTAAATAGGAATTTATTTTACTCTGCTAAGTGTATGCATTTTGTAGTTTTCTTACACATTCAAATTTCCTATAGATACGTAAAAATCTAACGATGACTATTATAACGACTCATTATAAGAATAACGCTTCAGAAGATCAATATATCACACACGTTTGGATTTGTCTTTTTTATCAGCAATATTATAATAATGAATATACTCCACTCCAAAACACGTCAATGGTCTTGAAATGTCAGAATATAGGACCTCGAGACAACTTTTTAGCTTATCATAGTTTGTCCACCTTCGAACAAAATATATTCCTTTTGTGAGATTTGTGCATATCCTGTTTTCTATTTCACCCTGTAACAATGAATGACAATAATGACTTCGAATACTAACAACGGTAACGATTAACGACAATGTTTTATTTCAATGTATAGTGATAATTTTTGGTGACCAAGCTAACGTCAATTTTTTTCCTATCATTTTATTCACACCTGTCTGAACTCTGCTATAAACAGTTTCTCCAAACACCGATAAAAACTCCAGATATGTATGTTACGTGATCATATTTACGTGAATCGCTCTGTAGATAAATTTTCATTAAACGTGGGATTACGTCGGTCGTTTTAATTTAGTCGCATGAAACTCGCAGTGGTCACCGTGCCGAGGACACGAGTCTGCAGTCCGAAATGCAGAGATTCGAAATTAGAGTTTGTGCTCATTAACAGCTTCAAAGTGCATATTCCGATGAAGTATCTTTTTCTACCTTTTGGGTCGAAAAGGGGTCGATGAAACACGCTCAAGCACGGAGAACGTTTCTCGGTACTCTCTTTGTCTCCGTGACTTTCTTTCTTCTGCTTCAATGCGTGGTTCATTATGCTGTACGATATACGATTTTTGTTCTCATCCGTATTGTTTTGAGACTTTTCTCGGGTCAGTAGCGATATACTTTCAATGTCTGTATAAAAGCTCACAGTCTGGGTGAAGTAATATTTTGGTTTCGGAGCGAAGCAATAATCAAGAAACGCGAATAATTTGTCGCCATTTCGACTATCGACTTTCGACTATATAAGAATCAACGATTTGAAGATTAGTTTCGTTATTGAAAATAATGAACCCCGAGGTGACGGGTTTTTTGTTGTTGAAGGTATAAGTAAAATAAAATTACGTTTATTGATTTTGATTATACAATGAAACATTTATTAATAGCAATAATTACAATTTTCTTGACATTTTGGTAAAGGGAGTTGGTTTTCTTTAGAAGAATTAAAATGTATTTACGTATAGATTGAAAGATACAGAAAGATATATGAATCCGAAGTAACATGAATAGAATTTACGTGAATTGATAAGGAAAGGTTTATTTATATAAGAATTGTGTATTTCGTATGGAAAAATGAAATTGAATTGATACGGTTTGTTAAGGAAAATAATAAATATGGAAATGCAATGGAAAAATATTTTAAAATGTTTAATATATTATAAAAATAAATTTACTTAAACTTAACCAAAGACACGAAAATATGGTAATAAGATAGGGGAATATAAGCAATAATGATGATAAAATAATAAGAACAAAGAAAAAAGAAAAAAAATCATCAGGTGTCAGTTGATCACTACTGCTGATCAGTACTGGTCATCATTTTACGAAAATGAACTTAACATCTAAACTGTAAGCGTGTATCGTTTACTTCCTCTCTTCGGAGAATTTTCAAAGAAAATTGTGTATCATCTAACGAGATATCGGTCGTGTTTTCTAGGTCGCCAAGCTGTTCTCGTTTACATGGACCATGGGCCTGTTCCTATGCAAGTCGGTGCATTATATGCAGAGCGTGTCGGCCATTTGCTCGGTCATCACGTTAACCGCAATGTCGATTGAAAGGTAAACCTAACGATATTATTTCCTTTACGTCCGCCGTTCTTTAAACTGATTGGGTCGGTGCTTCTACCTCTGTCCTGGATCGCTTACACGAAATCCGTGGAAAAGCAAACCGAAGAATGGTTTTCGCAATTATTTTATCCATTTACGGTTGAATATTTCAAAGAAAGATAAAGATATTACGATATCGACGTGCACAAAGTAAAATAGAAGTTTTAAACGTGTTTTTCTCTGAACGATGAATACGATGGTGAATACGGTGAATACAATGATAATTCGCGTATAATTGAATCGATTCTCAGACAATTCGGCAATAAATACTTAATAACATTGTTTATCGTATCGTACACGTCGGTGACGATGATCGTGTATGACAGAGATAATTAGCGATGACGAAAGTGATTATAAACAGTGACGATCACTATGACGATAACAATAATTTCCACACAGATAGGATTTATTCGGAATATTTGCATATAAATGCATATAGTCAGCATATCTGTATGTATTTTCTATATAAGTCTGTATATCATACGCGCATATAAAATGTGCATTTTTTTCGGAGAAATATGCATTTGGATAAACATTAGCAGCCAAGTCTCTTGAATGTCCGCAATCACTTAAATAAACTCATTTTGTATGAATAACTGAACATTATACATACAACGCTGAAAACTAAATATTAGTTTAGAATATTTTTAAATTACGTAGCATCGACAGGCGCCATCGAATGTATCGAAAGAAAACGGTAGTCGAACCTTCGAGCCACTATTTGAGGAATAAAATTCGAGAAACCACTTAACTGTCGCTGGACAAACCGCATAATTTTACTTAATTGATGCGCTACATCGAGTTCCCTGAAAGGCAGCTTATTTATAGCTGCAACTCTCGTTGGTGAGTTTTCCCTACGCCCTGAGTCATAAGTACTTGATTGACACTGTAACTATCATCCGATTTAGAAACAGTCTTAAAAAAATATCTTTAATTAGGTATAGAAATTAATTATGTGCCTTTATATTTACACTAGTTTAAGTATAAATATTCAGTCGTTATTTTGTTACGTTAAAATACTAATCTTCTAATCCTCAATCTAATCCGGAACCTCAAGTTCTACTGGAATACGTAACTGAGGGAAGATTACAAATTTGTTGGCTCTCAGGCTAACGGTTCTCTGGAAAGAAACATGTAAAGTAATTAAATTATTAAAAGAATTATTAAAAGTCTTCATTTTAGGATTAAACTTTTTCCTCTATCAATTTTGTCTACCTCCTGTTAGGAAAGATTTAATATTTGACTTAGCTTTTAAAATAAATTTTTTCGTTTGGTTCTTCTTTATAAATGAATGGTAAGTTTACGTTACAAATGTACAGAATCAATTTCTATGCCTATTATATTAATATATGTATATTGATCTAGGCTTTTTATTACACTACATAGTAAGTATTTGTACGAGGCTCAACTCTCAACGAGGCTAATATGTTATTTGCCATGTAACGAGAAACGTTACATGCATTACTCATTTTTCAATTTTGTGCCTCAGTTTACTTTAAAAGCTAAGTCAAATATTAAATCTTTCCTAACAGGAGGTAGAAAAAATTGATAGAGGAAAAAATTTAATCCTAAAATGAAGACTTTTAATAATTCTTTTAATAATTTAATTACTTTACACGTTCCTTTCCAGAGAACCGTTAGCCTGAGAAAAATTCAATTTTAATTTGTAAATTGAATAAAAACGACTTAATGCTTAAACGGTTCTTTCGCAATTTTTCATATTTTTAATGAATTTCGTTGGCAGACTCGACTCGAGTGCACTGTGGGCACTAAGAATTACCATAGAAAAAGAATTATTTGTTATTTTTAATTTACAGCTAAAACATTTTCTTGATTCTTTTCTCTGAAGAACGCAAACATGAACTGAGTAATTTATTTAAAAAATTTGAGATTCGAAAGAGCGATGCGACTGTACGCATGAACTCTGTTTTCCTAATTCTTTTTTAACCGACGATTCTAATTTTCATTGTGTCCCTAATTTTACCATTATTCGAGATCCTCTTTAACCAACATAATTCTAATTTCGTTTGATTTCCTAGTTCCATCGCCATCATAATTCTTCTTTTAACTAATCCAATTCCAATTCTGTTCGTTTACCTAATTCCATTTTATCTGACTTAATTCTAATTTTAGTTGTGTATCTAATTTTACCGCAACTCTAATTCAACTTTAATCGACCTAACTCTAATTTCGTTTGCTCTTCTAATTCTACTATCTTCCTAATTCTATTTTAATCGATTTAATCCTATTTCTAGTTGTGTTCCTAATCTTAGCACCATTCTAATTCCATTTCAACCAAACAAAATTCTAATTCCGTCACCATCGATAATTCTATTTTAAAGTTGGAATGTCTCGCCACTTATTCGTCCCTGTTGATTTCTATACGCTTCTAAACTCTTCCCAAAGTTGTTTATCGAAAGACGCAGCTCCAGCGTGCACCGTGCGTACTTTGCAGTCGATTTATGAGAATCGTTTCTTCGGATTCAATTCTAAAACAATTTTACTGAGCGCAGTCGACGAAGAAAATCTTACGTGGATCAGAGAGTCCGCCCCTTCTTGAAAGGTGATCAGCATAAAAATCATTCCAAGGTTCTTCTCACCGAATTCAAGCACCTCTGGTTCCATTTCCCTCGAAGAAGTACTCGCTTCTAAAAAAAAAAGGCGAATTCATCTCGAAGCTTACGTTCCCGGTCGTAATTCCAGCAGACTCGTTTGCCTTCTTCTTTCGACGCCCTTCGAAAACCATTAGCACGCGAAGGGCTCCGAATTGTCGTTTCCATTTCGGATCAGATTACGAGCGAGTCGGGATTGTCGAGCGTCCTGTTTCTTCGTTCCTTCGATTAGCCGTGCGTCTCCTTAAAGGATTGTATCTGCCCAGTGCTGGAATATCGACGGATACAGACAACTGTACAAATTTGGTGTACAAATTAATTCGGTGTACAGTTCTCTTTTGCTTCAAAATTTATTTACACATGTACGGATACAGGTCTAGTTTTCGAAACGATTGCCATTATTTTCTATAACTTTAGTCCTAAGGGGAAGCTGAAGTAGAATAAAGGAAAATTATGTCTTTAAATTACTGTAAGGTCAAAAGCGAAATTAAAACAAGATCATGATCAATTTTTAATACCAAAGCTACCTATATTTTATCAGTAAGTGACGTGCGTTAGAAACGCCTTTTTTAATCGAATATAAAAATATTTCACTTGTTACTACATTGAATAATATATCAAACTAATTTGTATAATTTATATATTTTATATACGAAACTGCACGAAAGTTTGAAAACGGTCATTAACCGTCTGTAGTAGGTTTAGTGTTAAGCTTCACTTACTTCCGTACTTACTTACTTACTTACTTACGTACTTCGATCCTTTGGACTTTTTGATCTGAAGTCTACAATTTTGATCGAGGAGCGTCCACCAATAAAGATCCCGAAGATAAACATGTCTCGCATAGACAGTGCTAAACTTCTTTAGTTAACACATTCGCGACCACTGATGCGAATTCATGTCACTTCAAATTCTATTCCTGGTTACGAAAAAGTTATGAAAATCTTTTTATTGTATACATTACACATTTATAGCATTGATATTTCAAAACATATTTTGTAATTGTTATCTTTGCCCGAACGATACTTTCGCGATGTCCAGCTTCAGAATTTTATTATTCTCGTCAGTACTCTGTATTAGAAACGTAAAATATCTGGCGATCGCGAATGTGTTAATAATAATTCTTGAATGTTTAACGATAATACAGGTAAAGCATGTATCCTTCAGAGCAAACACGTTTCGCGTCGTTAAAATCTATTACTTTACCAAGAATAATTCCTCCGGTTGTATGCTTTTTTCTGGCTTCCAAGTTTTCGCAGCGAAACCATCCATCATAATTAGAAAATTTCGCATGAACCGATGGTCAGACGTATGGTCGTAAAATTTATGATTTGTCTCGAGGGATCGTGGCTCAAGCTTGCTGCTCACGTTTCGCTTTAACAGAGAACCGATAAAACAGACCCCTATGACGCCTCGGACGCGTGATCCAACAGCTTTCTTCCCCGGGACGCGCGGCCATGCTTTAAATTTATTTCATTTCAGGGGAAATTGAACCACCTTATCATCGAGCCTCTTCTGGCTCGTTGAATCGATCGACCCCGACGTGTAATCTATTGTTTATAGCGAGATGCGCGCCGAGAACAAAGCGGATAAATCTTACACAACGTCTCGCGTTCTTTGTTCTATAAGCTATAATAAATATGTACATTAAAAGTATCAGAGAATGGTAACGACCAGTTATACTATTTTCAACGAAGTTTTCAGATAGAAATGTAGACATAATTAACTAACAGTTTGTTCGGCATGCGTGTTTCGAATGTGCGACACGGAGAGCAAATACCTTCGTTTTAAAATTCCACATGGCATTCGTCAAAGCGGAATTTGCACCGAACCGGAAATTTCTGTTATTTTACAGTTAGACTAAAGGAATGAACGCTGCGTCTGATCCTTAAATAATCAACCCCGCTTGAAGAGCCTGACAGCGTCGCAAAAAAAAATTAAAACATTATTATCCGTATTTAAAAGTTATTTCTTCGTTTTCATTTCCGTGAAAAATATTCGGTTCCTCTGTTTTTATCCCGGAGACTGTAAAAACAATTTTATAGTGAAGCTTAGGGGAAGCTAGACTCAGGGGTCATTATTAAGGTTCTCAAATTAAATAGATGTCCTTGTTCAATATTATACAATGTGATCTAAAACCAGTAGTGATTATTGTGTTTGGGTCATGACTAGACTATAGATAATCATGCATTAAAGTCAAATTGAAATATATAAAATTTTGCTTATAATTGCACCTTATACTCATTTTTACAATATCAATAACATTATTAAAAGCAGTTTCTTGAATATTGCTACAAACACTAAAATCCGAGAGTTATTTAATGGCAGAAGATGGCTGATCAACAGACTGAGTAGAGATCGTGGTACATTTAATATTCACGGCTGCGTTGTACCGTAAAGGGTATGGATAATCGATGACGAGCTTTTTGTTTCATTTAATCGCGAATGCGTCTACAGAGAAAGAGGACTGGTAGTAAAAATGCAGAGGGAACGGAAATAACTGTGGTCATAAAGCGAGGAGCGTTCGTTGAGATTTTTCGCACTGTTGCTCCGATCCATCGTCTCTGCTTAATATATTTTCCTTGTTTTATTTGCATTTGCCTCTTTCGTTCTGGAACACGGCCGTTTTAATCTCCGGGATCTCCAAGCGCGAGGAGGTGTCACGGAAAACACGTTGTCGAGAATTATAGGATTTGCCACACGAAAACTTTCGATCCTCGTCGCGCAGCGCTGGAAATATCATTTTTCATGTTTTTCCAGGATTCGTGTTAGGTGACATATTTATGAAACCGTTATAAAATCGTGAACACAATACATAAATTGTATGGTGTCTTACAATAGAAACTTTGATATCTTCACTATTTTATATCATAATAGGAAGCAACGTTTATAAATTCTGATGTGACTTTAATGGTTGCAATAACTTCTTCTTGGATAGAGGTAGAAAGAAGTGTTAAGTTATTTATTATATATTAAGTTACTCTTAATTTTCTTTTGTATATTTTTGTTTTTCTATTTCTATTATTATCTCGTTTTATGATTTTTTATGTTTTAATTCAGATACCTTTCACCTTAGTAATTTCACGTACCCAAAGGGAACATTGTACTTAACACTAAAATTACCAAACCAATCAATCTGACATGGTGTATATACTTCAAACTTCTTCCGTAAGTTACTGCATTTTCAACTGCTTTCGCTGCAATTTTTGGGGCCAATTATTTCAACAGAAAATTAATTTAATTTACACATTAGTTTGACTCTTTCCTCTCTAATAATAAAGACATAGCTCTACTTTTAAGGATAAAAATTTACAGACTTCGCGCACACGCAAGAGTTGGAGAGATTGAAAATAGCTACCTGCTGTACCATACGTAATGATTTTCCGCGACAGGACATTTTTTTCTCAGAAAACCCCTTCATTGCTTTGTGACGCACTAAGACATAATTGTTGCGGAACATCTTTATGTTAGTACAATAAAATCTCCTTACACGTACAAATTTTTATACGATAAATGCACAGAAACCATCACCAACACTTTACACTTTACACTTTACACTTTTGAACTATCTCATGACAAGCTGTGTAACGGGATATATTTATTCTGTTACTACCCACCCATTTCATCGCCTCGCAGCATTTTTCACCATATAATGGGACATGAATTTCGGTTGTTCGCAAATAAAAAGATTTTCAATCTTAATACTTCTAGGTATTTTTATGCGATTTCTACAGCATCACTTTTACTCCGAAACTTTCTTACTCAATACACGTCTCGCAAACAACGTGTCTCTGGGCAACTCGAAACAATGACGATGTTAAATAGACCTTTTCCCAACGAGACACCCTGCACTTGGTGCAAATCCACTACACGAGTTACACTCGCGTGAAGTTGTTAGCCGCGCCGTAATCGATTCTACATACAATGCGGGAGTTGGAAGTTCGCGAAGGCTGTCACTTCCTAGTTATCGACACCTAACTAATTGGAAATTCCGTTTGTGTTTCAGGTATTATGCGATAGTTCATCCGATGAGGGCGCAGTATACATGCACAATAAGCCAAGCTCGTAAGATCGTGATTATAACTTGGGTAGCGTCGTTCCTGCTTGGGATTCCAATGATCTTCACACAGGTAAACGATAATTTTGTTTCAAAGAAGATCATTGAAACTACGCCCTCGTGGTCTTGTGATTAAAGGATGACACTTCATACAGCTTTATTAAAATAGTTTTAATAAAACAATGATTTGAAAGTGCGTGTATTTACATAAAAGTCTGATATTATTCACTTATCCAAAAATTGACAGCATGTCGATCGTTGTTTAATCTTGCAATAGTGAACATTACTTACAAAAATAATATCGTAATAGTTCACTCGATTAAAATTTCATTAACAATGTTTCCTGTATTCTTCCTTTTCTCACTTTTCCTAACATTTTTGTTCCACTTTCTTAGAGGTTTTCCTCCTAGAGATCTTCCTCCTAGAGTTTCATTCTAAGTTCGAAATTGATTTGTACTATTGGTAATGGTGAGGGCTGAGAATGATAGTTATTTGAAACAGATAATGCCGAATAGTCAGCGAAATTTCTATAATACTCAACGAAATTGAACAGAGCGTTATTTTGTTACCATGTTGATTTAGTTAAAATTAGGTTCTCATCTTTCTACCACTTCGATTTTCGATACTCCATGTGGCTGATCCTTGAAGATATTCACAAAGAGATACGTAACGCTTGCAAAATCGACGTGCATCCTTTCGTTTCGCGATGGCAGGGACGTCTGTTTACCAGAGCGTTAAGAAGACACTTTGCCGAGGGGCAAGATCGGGCAAGCAACAGGCGGAAAATCGAGCGAAATCGTTCTCTGGGTTAGCTTCCATTCGAATTAGGTTCCCTTCCTTACGACACATTTTCCAGGGATTTTTCAGCGATTTCCATATTTAGATGATTGCGTCTATTTTCTAGGTATTTTGTAAAAAGAGGTTACGTATGTTACGTATGTAACCTCTTTTTTCCCATAAAAACAAGCACAGTCATGTGGCAAGCAGCAAACAAGCAGGGGGACGAAAGAATTAATGCATTTACAGAAGAAAGTATACCTGCATAGGTAGATCACTTCTGGAATATCGTGATTCTTTTTAATAGCGATGCAGCTTCTGCAACCCGTTGGTACAGTGTTTGTATTTTTTGTCTCGACAGGCTTGAATATTGCGTCCCGTTGAAATTAATTTCCTAAGAGAAATAATACAAAACTTGTTACGATCGTAATATACTTTTAATTTCAGTTCCGCGCGAGTGCCGAAAGCTATATTGTTCCGCTTTTAATTAGTTTCATTAATTAGTCGTCTAAGTTCTCTTGGTATTTCAGTTTATGGGATTCTGGCAGTTGTGAGGTTCCTTCGTTAGGACCTTTTGTGTTGTATTATATACAATTTAAATATGCAGCAAATTTTCAAATTATAGCTGTCTTCCGATAGGAGTGTTAAATGAAATACAAGAACAACTAATATTAGGAGATAAATTTTCGGAATTTACATTTAGGATAAAAAACTAATTAAAATGTTAGATTTCATTGTTTTCAAAGCTCAAGGAATTCAGTCTCATAATAGTAGCTGTTACATCGAATACAGTAATAGAGGTAGTATTACAAGATAAACATAGGTATATTTAATAGTTTCATTTATAAAAAAAAGAAGAAATAACTACAGTGTTAACAATCACTCGACCACTCAATATTACTCATTGACATTACTATTCCATAACAAAGGATCGAATCGATCCACTTTAGGAGAAGTTTTTCACCTAATAGAAGCTACTAGCGTTTATACTAGACTACAGCAATATAAATGATTTAATGGAAGGTCTTACGACACCGATCATACGTATCTTTTTTCCAGACACACAAACTAGTGGGATTGAGAGTAACCGCCTATTGGTGTGTTCGTGACTCGGATATTGGACTTCTATGGCGTGCACATGAGGTTTACATGCTCGTCTTGGTTCTCGTACTACCCCTGATTGTTATGGCATTTTGCTACACGGCCATTTGCTGGGAGATTTGGCGCGTCATGAAGCGTCGATACCATATGACATCTCGACATGCGTGAGTCCACTGAACTTCTCAATTATAAATCACTGCATCAAAGTTAAACAAAATTATTATCGTGCTTCTATTCCGTTAGAAGGGTGTATGATCAATTATTTAGCTCATATAATGTCAGTTTTTCTTAGTATAGCATAGTTTCAATATTGCAATTGACATCTTAAGGAAAAATTCTCTGTTTACATTTTATGGCGTTTGTCTTATTTCCTGTTTTTCATGTTAAACTATTCATGTCCGCGGTATCCTCCTCGATAGAAACTACTTTCAGACAATCTATATTCGCATCGTTGGACTATGGATACTTCTGTAAGTAAGACATGCGAAACGACTTTTATGCGCGTAAAATATGCATTTACTCCTTTGTGTATATCCAAAATGTACAGAATATACAAGTATACGTACAATATGTACGAAATTTTATGTACATTTGTTAGCGAATATCTACAGAACTATAAGAAGCAGAAGAAAAATTTGTTTTACCCTTCTTCTGCAAAATTTAATAAACTTCATTTTATATGCATACAATAATTTCGATAGTATCGATGGTTATTGAAATAAACACAAAAACGTGTTATGTGTTCCATGTGTAAATTGTTCAACGTAAAATATAATATTTAGGTCTTTTTTATAATCATAACAAATACATGGAGAATACATACACATTCCCATATCAAGTTCATTATCGCTGTTCCAAGTAAGCTGTATTACAAACGTGAAAAATAAACGCGAGCTTGCGCAGAGAAAAGCTCGAAGAACAGGTAAAAATCAATCGACGTTCTTTTTGTTTCATCATTGAGCCACAGACGTGTATTCCGTATGTGAGGTGGAATTTTTATCGGGTGGCATCGCGCATCGATTCGCGGTTGGCATTCCAGGTAGTATCTCAGGGAGTTTCTCCTCGCGTTGCATGCAGTTGGGGATCCACGTGCATCAGTTAAGTACAGTTGTCGGAGTTCTTCTGAACGTCGAGGCGAAGTGGCTCTGCATGAAAGTTAAAAGGTTCGGTTTGGGGAAGTTGATGAACATATTCTGCAGTATCCACCAAAATAATAACTTCTATATATGGAAATGATAACTTCTTTTGTATGAAAAAGACATTTGAATGTTACTTAAGACTGCGAATTTTATGTACCGATGCATTTGTTTTCCGTATGTTAATACAGAGAACGTACGCCAAACGTACGTATGTAGAATGTGTATAATTTATTAATGAATATGTTAGTCTTAATATTTATGTTACTTGCAGGTAATTTCAATTTGGAGAGACAATAGTCTGTTCCTTTGATATTTGTTTTTTTAACAAATATATTTGACAACAATTTCATACTTCATTGAGGTGTACAACTTTTGTTTAAAACATTTTTTTAAAGGACCATCTTGTTTTAAAATCATTTTTCCTCTTTTCTTTGGGAATTTTTTTCTCGTAGATAATAGAAGTTGCTCCTATATGTGATTTAACGAAATATGCTTCATTTTGACTCAGGAAGTGAAAAATAATTTTTTAAATTATACCCAAAAACTCTTACCGTTAGAAGATTTCCTCTTCGCGAGTAGGTGATACGAGCCACGCAGCTGCAATCTTTTCGCAGACTGAATATTCAAAACATATTTTAAAAGTTCAACTCGGAGGGTGTGCCGTTTTAAACCAAATCACAGCGAATATAAATATTCTAGAAAGTAGCAACAAATTCGACTACGATGTGGATTTCATCTTAACGGTCCAACGAACGAAGTTGTCGTGCCGGGGAAAAGGAAATCGTGAAAAGTTGCTAGTGGAAGTTCTTTCCGTGGAACTCGATAGCAATTGAAAGGATAGTGTGCAGAAACTCCAGATAGATACAGAAAGAAACATAAAAATTGTACGATTCAAGAATTAAATTGGAAGAAAACCGAAATAGATGTATGAGGTACGCGCGTGTGCTTCGTATAAGCGAATCGGTTAAAAAAGAATGGCAAAACTGGAGAACATTGTTATTTTGTAAATGTCTCACAGCTGTCTATACCCAGAAATCCCTTTGTTTCGTCGATCAACGCGACCGCAAACTCGGTAAACTTTTCGACGAATTGAGAACACCGCAGCCATTTTCATTATTTTCGCGCCGTCGAGCTCGACGAGAACTTTTGATCTCGATTTTGGGACGATAACTCGTTATCGATCGCGAAAGCCGAGCTGACATCTTACAAATCCGTCGTCGTTTGTCATGGTTGTTAGAAACTTTTAGAGGACCGGATCTTGCCGTTGACCGTTACGACGAAATACCCTTGAAGCGATACAGTTCTGCCGCGCAACTTTTCACGGAGAATGTCTCTTGGGTCTTTGAGCAACGCAGCTCGTCCGTATTCAACAAATTTCTATTTAAAGGGGAATTGCATTTATTTCCGAGAAATGGTTTCAGCCAGCTCAAGCATTATATTTGTTACTTTAATTTCTCGATGCGGACGCTCACCAGAATACTGAAACTGTATTTATAAAACTGAAACTGTATTTATAAAACTGAAACCGTCCAAATACAGAAATCATTACTTGCACTTACTGTACAAGAATGATGGAAAAGTAACAAAAATCACACGGAGATATTATTAAAACGAATAAAATTGTGTTAAACGGGTCGTTTCATGCTTGTTATAAATAAATTAGAATAACACATGAGAAGTACACAAGCATTTATGTATACAGGGTGTCCCAAAAATGTTGTAACACCTTGAAAGGGGGTGGTTGGGGAGGTGATTTGAAACAACTTTTTCCTTAGCGAAAATGTTGTCCGAGGCTTCGTTAAGGAGATATTAACGAAAAACACTGACCAATCAGAGCGCGCGGATACCGTTGGAGCGGCCGCGGTAGCGAAGGCTACGCGCTGAGCGGCCGCGTCAAGGTCCTTCGATGCACGTCGAGTCACTTGTTCGCGTACAAGCACGGCCGCTTAGCTCGTAGTCTTCGCTACCGCGGCCGCTCCAACGGTATCCGCGCGCTCTGATTGGTCAGTGTTTTCCGTTAATATCTCCTAAACGAAGCCTCGGATAACATTTTCGCTAAGGAAAAAGTTGTTTCAAATCACCTCCCCAACCACCCCTTTTAATGTGTTACAACATTTTTGGGGCACCCTGTATATTGACATATTTCAATTCCCCTAGCAATTATTCAAAATGAAACAAGGTTTTAATCTTCTGTAACCAATGAAATTCAGCTATCAATTAAAGTCAATGTAATTTTGTACAATATTAGCAATAACAAGTTTGAATACACGCAGAAACCAAAAATGTAACACATTCGTCAAATAAATTCATCTCCCTACTACTTTCTACGTTGATATAAGATCGAAAATCTGTGTATTTCATGACGCTATCGATATTCAATTAAATCCTTCTATGTATTGCAGATTAAATCCGAATAACACCGATACCGAATCGATACCCATGACCCAAAGGCAGAGCACGCGAAACGGACGACGTAACTACCGAGCAGACGGTCAGACAGAAGAGGAATCTCGAACCATGAAACAGGTTGGATTTGAAATCATTATACATATAATGATATGCCTATGTGGGTAGTTGGTAGCATTGTTTAACTTACGAATATCGAACCCTTTACCTTTGAGGTCGCAGATATATCGCGACATCGTCTCTCGGATTTTTACAGCTTGGTGCTGATCGCGAGGCAGCCTGAGAGACATGTAGGTGGAATTTGATTATTGTTATCTTGCACGACTTTTCATGCATTGTAGGCGAAAGTGAGAAACGGCGAGAGCATGCGAGATTCACAGTGGTAGTGGTAAATCTGTTACAACCTGGGAGACAGGTACGTGAAACTTGATTACAGTTTGTCTTGCCCGACTTTCAGTCCATCGAAGGCAAAAGTGAGAAAAATTAAGAGTGTGTGAAATTCATAATGATAGGGAATCCCTGCTAGGGATATGTCCGTGACAAGCTGAGAGATAGAAACAGTGTGATCCACTAACTTCAAATTGTATGAAAAGAAATTCATCTGTTACTATTAGACTGCGGATTTTTATGCAAAATAAAATCTTTACAAACGTACCTACAATAATTTACCTACAATATTTTTTTTTATGTTATTGCATACTGCGTGCATTTTGTAGTTTCTTGCGCAGCTTAATTATTATAGTGACTTGTGTTTTATTTTTCACGCTAAGAATTATGGAAAACTGGGTAAAGTAGGTATTAATATATTATTAATAAATGATGGATATTAAGTGTGAAATTGGGACAACATTAGGAGATTATTATTTTTCAACGGCAAAATTATTTTCTTAGTAGTCTGCTAATAGTAGTTAAATAAAATTAATAGAAAATTGCACTCAAATACTTTTCATCTCATCATGGCCTGTATTATTTGACAGAATTACAAAGCACAAAAAATGCAAAACACAGGAAATAAGATTTCATTTAATATTTTCTTCGCGATAGAAGACACAGAAACCGTTAACTAAAATTTAATTCTCTTTAAAAACTCAGTTAAATCCTTTCTAAATGTCAATAAATGACGAATGTGTACATAGTAGAAAGAGTAAAAAATTGCAAGACGTAACCAAAATCTGTTAAAATTCAGAGTTCCAAGCAATTCCTTTATCCTTAGACAAACGAGACTAAAATTAAACCGTAGTTATTCATTCGCTATTATTATTTTTAAGGACAGGATTCTCGAAACCTCGACATTCTGCGATTTTTTATTAAATTCCCTACCTTTGAACCTTCTTAAATTCGCTGCTAGCTCTTGGAGGTCTCCCTCATCTATGTAGTTCTGTGAAGCTTCAGTTTCATTAATTTCATGGTACATTCGCTCTCGGTGGCAAGTTACGTGACCTCCATCTAATACGCCCAGTCGACTTTCGTTGGTCTTCGAATTGCTGTGCCGTAGATACAAAAAAAGAAATCTACTGAATAACCGCGCGATAGAATGGGCAAAAGTTTCTTAAGTCGGTGCCTCGTTAACGTCATCAAGTCGAAAGTCCTTAAACGGAGACTTCGGGAAGTTTCGTGTGCCATTGAGATTCGCGAAGGACCGATACCGTTCGCAATTCGCCTGAGCCAACCTCCGACTCGTTTAAATGGTAATTATTGTGTGTTTCGAGCAGCAATTTCGGGCAAATAATAATAAGCTTTTCGTACGTGCTAACGGTGTCACTATTAGCCTCGTTCCTTGCTACGAGAAGTCTTTTAGAAAACATATATTATCTTTTCGTTGGAAATACGAAGAAAGTACATCGGGTGGAATAACTGGCGGGCTGTATTCGCTAACAAAGGCTCAGAGTGCAGCTTATTCGACGTAAAAAGCGACTAAAAGGAATCTAGGATGAAGTTCTAAGTTCCAGCACAGACAAAGTCCTCGGTCTTCCGAGAAGACAGACATCCTCTTGGACTAACGTAGTCGAGGAAGCAGATGGCAAGATAAATTTAATGAAAAGCTTAGGTACTTCTCGGTATAACGCTGCTCTCCTTACGCTTTATAAGGGTTTCAAGGAATTGAAGTAATAGGTTGTTTGACTAGTTCGTTCGTGTTTTATCGCTAAAATAATTCCAATTTTTATAGAATTGAACTAATAAATATCTATGTCATCTTTGAATAACATAAATATTCCCCCACAATAATATTCTGTAAATTGCGAGCTTAGACTAATGCTTTTTCTTTATCACATTATTGAAAACGATTCATTTCTCATTACTTGTGACCATTTGTTTTAAAAATGAACAATTTTTAACATTTGTTTAAGTGGAATATAATTGATTCGTGTGAAGCATGTAAAATGGTGGCAATATCTTTTGTTGTGTGTCGGTGTCGTGGATTCCGTTGGATCAATTTTGCTAATATAAGCAACGCTTTTGGATAATACATCTGGAAATCCGTGCCACCGTCGACGCAAACATACTTATTACACAACCTAATAACATAATATGAAACCAGCTGTAATTTGTGGACACGGTTCACGTTCCCGCGAAACGTAGAATTACAGTGGAGTCCGTAATCGTCTTAGTCTTTTGTCGACCACTTGATTTTATTCCGTATATCGTATAAAATACGCAATGGCGTCTGCAAGGAACTTTTAATGAAATGGATGACAAATTAATGAAAATAATTTATAAAATGAAATAGTAAAGAGTTTTCCAAAAGGACCTTTAAGATATGGCACTTAAAATTATACATTGGATGATTCAATCGATTTTATTCTATACAACATGAAAATTGTATTAAACGATTGAAACTTATATACAATACATACGAGTATATAGTTTAATGTTAAATATATTATACAAATTATGTGTATCGGATAACATAAAGTATAGCATAAAGAGACATTGAATTATATGCATATGAGTTTTAATCATTTAGACAAAATTTTCATGTTTTATAGAATAAAATCGTTCGAACCAACACCTGTACGATTTTAAATGCCAGGCACTATAATTCGTTAAAAGTGTATCTTCCCTTTTTACTTTGAAGTACTAGTCCTCTATTTCTAGGATATTATGAACTTTTCTATTAGTATTAAAATTTATTCGAAACATGAATTTTGAAAAGAAACTAATTTATTAGCGAATGGGGTTAAAAATGGTTGCAACTGTTTTCCACTGTCACAGGTGGTGAAGATGTTGGTGGCCGTGGTGGTGTTGTTCGCCATCTGCTGGGGTCCAATCCTCGTGTACAACGTGCTTACCGCGTACGGCTTCTTGCCGAAGGTAAAAACAGGAATGGGAAAACACCTCAATACCATCTTTCAGCTGATGGCTTATTTTAACAGGTACATACAACGAACAAGCATTACTTTATGCGATAGTGTAACGTCCCATCGAATGAGAAGCTAGTGCATCTGTTACGTTTACCGAATGGGCGCGTCATTTCCTTTTTATTTCCCCCGAACAAAGTGCAGGTACTTTATTCGTAGCACGTGGGCTGCGTAGATCATGTTTCACAAAGACTTCTCTTACTTTGGCGGAGTGTTCTGCAAACAATGGTTTATTTATTGGCGCTATTGAAAGTATAACGCGTAAACGTTTTCAACGCTAATGGTCATCCTCAGATGTAATACAAAATTATTTTGCCATTTATATAGAGAAAAATAGTCACATTTATGTAGTGTGAAAAGCGTAGGTATAAATGGAACTGGTAATTTTTATATAACTTACGATAAAATGTACAAATTTCTATGTGTACTTTATGTAATTATGTATTTTATATCATATATTCCTCACTCAAGCTAGTACTTCAAGCTTTTTAATCCCCGAATTGTAACTTTCAATCCAGTAATTAGAACGCTCTATTTGTCACGATCATAGTAAACAGATACACACAGGACTGCTTAAAACGATATGCTAACATTAAAGTGTTACATTTAGCGTTGTTAATGGGACCAGTTACAAATTGAAGTGTCGTATAACAATCCTTATCTAGAGTGGCGTAATTGTAGAACTGATGTTTTCCATAGAATCGTCGCTGGTTTCTTGGAAAACCGTGGCGCAGGTGCAAAGACATTTAATTAATTCCCATCGAAACGATGCATTCCCACCAGCCACTCTCAACCAACCCTTCGGGACGCTTACTATCGATTCTCGTTTCACTCATTTCCATCTGCAATGTAGGCTGACGACGTTAATGATCGTCGTCGTCCGAGTACGATCGCTGTGAACGAAGTAACGACCTCTTTTTAAACTACCGATACGCGTATGCAACGATCGATACCACGGACAAATTACATTAAATTGGAATGGTAATAGTCAACGTTCAAACAGGACGTCTCGTGGGATGCTTTTCACTCTACGCTCTTTCACATTCTTGATTCGCGATTCGAGTTAATAAACACTAAAGGGTTGGGTTAAGTTAGTTGACCAGTTGAGGCAATTTTTCTACATAGACAGTAGTCATTGTTTACTTTATTATTAAATAAAGATAGCGAATGCTTAACGATACTCAACAATTTTGTTTAAAAGAGGCTTTCAAATGGGGTAGTAGACGAATGATACGTCTATAGATATTTCAAAATTTGTCTGAATTGTATAATGAGAAGAGACTTTCAAAGGGGGTAGTAAATTAATGATAGAGATTAATGACAACAGATATTCCATGGAGTACCACAATTATACGCTTATACACAGGGTGTTCGATAACTGATGGTACGAGCGAAAAGGGGATGATTCTACATGAAATAAATAAGTCGAAAATGTGGAATAAAAACTTTTCATAAGAAGCATTGTTGTCGAGAAAATCGACTTTGAATGTTTTACAGTGAGATCTACAGTGAGATTCGTTATAACGAGACGTGATCAATTCCACCCGTACCCGGCGGAAATTCAAAGTCGATTTTCTCGACAACAAAAAGCCTCGTATGTAAAATTTTTATTCTATATTTTCGATTTATTTTTTTATGTAGAATCATCCCCTTTTCGCTCGTACTAGTTACGGGACACCTTGTACATGTATAACTATACTTCTCCTTACATTCCAGCTGCATAAATCCGATCGTTTACGGATTTATGTCGAAGCACTTCAGGGAGAGCTTCCTAGCTGCAGCCTGCGGCGGTTGGTGGATCTGCTGTCCAAAAAAGGGCTACAGGGCGCCCGTCAAGAGGCATCCTAGTCTCAGCCAGACCAGGACCACGAGTGTCAGGTACGCGACTGCCGTAAACGCTCGTGCGTGCTCGGTAGGGTGGTCCTTCGTCCTCAAAAGTTAATCGTTTTCGTTGCATATCTCATAATTCTGACACTAGAAAAAATAAAGACTCGACATACATTTTGTGCGTAAGTATTAGGTTGTCCCGAAAGTTTCTTTCGCGAGTTGCACTCAATTATTTTATGTGGTCGTCTTCGTATAAATAGACAATCTAATTTCATAGATATTCATGTTGTAACAGTAATGGAGCAAAATGAATCGTACACAATTCGGTAATGTAACACAAAACATTAGATATTGTGCATGTATTACTTATTAATAAAGCGAAAGAAACTTTTGGGACAACCTAATACATACTTCCATACAAACCATGCATTTTGTGGATACGAGCCCGCATGTCCTACGACTATCACTGATATAACGCAAACCGTATATCTTTCTTATTTGAAATGTAGTCTAATCGCTCTAAAATTGTTGGGGATATACTAGAACAAAATTGCACATTGAAAAACAAGGACCACCCCAATGCATGCGCGTGCTCAAGTTTCTTGTCCTGTCTCTGTCTCTCATACATCTCCTCTTCAACGTAACAAGAAAGAGTAGGCGCAGCCGAAGAATCACTATTTTGAATTTCAGATTGTTATGGATAAATATGTATGATACCCTGAGGCGGTAGACTCCGCACGCAATCGAATCGTACAACCCTTATCAGTAATCTGCGCGCTCGTGTTTAATCATGAAATTTCGAACTCGAAAGATGTTTTTCTGCGAAGCGTAAATGGTCTGTAATTTTCATCGAGATCGAGCTTAACGTCTTGAATAGGGGTCGCAATCAAATTGTTCGTAGATTCATTATATTCTAAATGATATTAACGCGTCGAATTGAAGAACTAGTGAATTATCGATAAAACAATAAAATTTTCTGCCAATCAAATTCCAATCTCTAATTACCGGTAAATGAATAACATTCTTTCGATATTTGTGCCAGCAATTAGAGACGATAACGTCGGTAAAATGAAAGGAATTTCTTTATCGAAAATTTTCTTTAATAAGTTTCTACTTTTTTTTTCAAGGTAATAAGATATTTAATCCTTCACTGCTACGTATTGCATATCTGCAATATTTCAATATTTGCTAAAGTGATATAAAATATGTTTTCGCTCGCAAATAAACGATACAAATTATTAGTAAACATTGAAATTACTTATGGATAAATCAAATGGAAATGTTAACATGTTTCGTTGAATTCGAAGAAGCTGTCTAGTAAAGGGTTAATAACGTTTATAAAATAATGCTTGCGATAATAATTTTATTGCGAATAAATTGTATAGAATATTATGTATAATTCTCGTGTAAATATACCACAAGTGAGTCACGTGTACTTCTTGTGCCTAGATGCACAATTTCAGACACGATGTTCGCTAGTCTAGTCACTTATTCGATTACTTGTATTGTGTTCACGTTATAATGAGAAATCGAAGTAAGAATATTATAAAGAAAATAGAGATATCTGTGACAGTGGTCAGCAACCTGCGACTTGTTAGCAAAATTATCATGGTTCTTCATTCACGTCAAATTATTTAAGTCGCATTTCCATTAAACATTACGCAGCCCAAATAAATTCATTTAGTTTGTACAACGAAATCTTCAACGTACATTTTCCATCTTCATTCCTTATATTTTAGTTCATTGCATTCTATAAATTTGACATCTATGAGAATAATATAATATTAAAATATTTTATTACGAGGAAAGCTTGTGCATTGGAAATGTTTGTTGTAATTGAATCCATGACAATAAGAATTAAACTGTTTCCATTTTATCACTTTTGTTCATTTTAAGAAATTAAACTTTTACTTTGTCGCTATTTGACAATAATTATAATAACAATTGACTGCAATTCTTGGGGTAAACATGGATTAATATATATATAGACGTATGTATTACACATGTTTGCATACAATGACATTGTACATAAACGTATGTGTGTATTATAGTATTATGTGTGTTACATGTATAGTATAGGGACTCTTCATCTTCTTCTCTTAACGTGAATTTTTGTCTAATATGCCCAAAAGGTTGTCGACTACTGTCTCATTAAGAATCGACTTTAGTGGAAAAGAGACCAAATGATCTAGCATAAGTCGTAAAAAACTAGATGCATCTTCGAGAAAAGAACACGAGAGGAAAATGTGTCCAAATTGTATGTGATTTCTTAATAACCAGTCGACCAACACGTGTATAGCGGAGAGCTGGAAAGAATTGCCCTGAGTGTAATTAAGCGATGAGATTCGGAGTGATTTATTGGATAAGGTTGTCTTACCGTTGGCCAGGATTTTGCACCAAGTAATGGCTAATAGCATTACTATCATAAAAACGCAATTTAAACGCAAAGAGACAAAGTTCTTTTGCACGTTGGCCATCACTCCGGGACGTTCTTTCTTGCTCCCTGCGAGGAGACCTCTTTCCGTGGTTAGGTTAATTCGTAGAAAAATTAGATCGCAATTCGGAGATCAGAAACTCGATGAATTACGTTTTCTTGCGCACCTAGTTTTTAGGAAGAGCTTAAAAATAAACACTCTTTTATGCTTTTGAAATAAAAGCATTGCTCTTTATTTACTTATTATATTTTACATTATGTTATGTTTTATATTTTGTGTTTATGTTTAGAATAGATGTGTTAGAATAAAATTCTGTTTATTTATACATTTTTTTTGTTTGTACTCGATTATATGTGACCAAGTTATTATCGACATCTACCGTTTTCTATCCTCGATATTGATAGTTAGGTGATAAATAAAAATTAACGCTGAATTATCCGATATCAGTTGAGAATTCCATTGAATTACCGATATTTGAAAAAGTCTGTGCATTTTTGCAATTTGTAATCTTCCAGTGTTATGCCAAGTGTTCATTCCACAGCGACGATCGTCAAAATTTCAGGAAAATTTCAAAAAGAGTTTATTCTTTCTTTGTCCCAACACGAACACAAACATTCAACGAATATATTTTGTTAAACGGAGGAGGGTCTTAAAAAGTGTTTTTTTTTTTTTTGCCAGACAAATGTCTTGATATTTTTCTTGATTACAATATCTTCGGATTAGTATACCATTTTTATATGTCACAAAGTATTTTGTAATTATCCCGTAATAGTCACGTTTCTAAGTGCACCAGCCACCTGCCTCTTTTTATTTTCTTTTAATATTTCTTTCGAATTTTTGTTGCAGCTTGTGTTTGTTTTCAGGTGTACACTTCGGAGATTGGATACCATTTTTGTCCCTAGTTTATTATCGCAAAATGAACCTTCCATTATACCGCGCAATCGGACGTAATTCAGTTCAACTATTACATGATGTCTTTTCAAACACTTTGCTAAAATTTCGGCCATTTATATCTATGATCCTCTTCGATGTTTCAAACTGTTAGAACAATTCGCAAAAGAATTTATCTTAACATTTAGAAATATAAAAATGTATCTAAATATGTACTTAACTAACCTACGTGTTATTATTCATAATTTTTACAATTTTCTCTGAAAACCAGATACGTAGCAATTTTTAATTTAAGGCTCATGAATTTTTATAAGCACTCTTCATTCCAATTTGTGTAAATAATTCCAAAAACTCCTTTCTCTCCTTACGTTTTGTTATATAAACAAAAATTCTTTTGCATAATGTTGTAACATTTAATCGAAACGTGTTGGGAAAAACATTGCGTAATATTTCGTAACCCAGTTCAGTAAAAAATGGGAAGCTACGTAATAACGTCATATTATCCCATCATCCGTGCCAAATAAAGCTTATCGAGGTTTAACCTGTTCGAATAAATTTATACATATATGTAGTTGGTCATCAATCCCTAACGAACGTCGAAATGGAAAGTAAAGAGAAGAAGTGGGACCAGTACCAAACATCGAGTACCTTATTGTTCTTTCATATTAATAAAGAATGATTTTTATCCACGATCATAATGTAGTGCAACATTCACAATTTCGCGAAAAATTTGTCAACCACGTTCGACGCCACTCCGTGAAGGCAAGCTTTTTTTACGTTCGTGGGTCGGTCAAAATTTGAAATTTCGCGATCATCGATCCGAGTCCGTTCTATATTCGTCCCTTTCCACCACGTCTGCTTTCAGGTGGACTTGATTCTTTCGTTGTGCCCGGCCCACGTCGAGGCAACAGAATCACAGGTAAAAAATATAAAGAATACAGGAGAGAGGAAGTGTCGCAAGAGCGAGCCGAAAACGAGAAATGGTCGCTGGGAAGACTGTTTTCCGAAGCTCGACGAGAGGACTTTATCCGGGACTGCGGGTCGATTATCTCCAAGACATCTCTAGGGATTTCAGAAGAGCTTCCTTAAATGTACCTACTTGATGTTAAAAAGTTGCATCGAAGGATGCGTTAACTTTAAAACTATCGTTTCAAGAAAACTTTCATCTGTCGACTTGCCCGAGCCATGACGGGCTATAAGCAACGAAAATCTCTGGATTATACATTGGTTACAAAAGACATTTACAAATTGTATTTTATAAATGCAGTACCTCCCGTTTATAAGATGCAATTTCAACCTGAATAGATGAAATGGAATACTCTGATCTAATAATCAAGTTTTTTTTAATTTTGTATTTTTCCTGGTGAAAATGAGTCCAAACACGGCTATGAATGTGTCGTATTTTACGTTATGGGATCGAGAGCACCAGCAGCTGAGTAAAAGGCCCTGAATGGTGCGCAATCCGGATGCGTGTGAGACTGTTTGCCGTCGATTGTCGCACGGTGGGGATCGTAAGTATAACGACACTTAATCATCAAAAATACAAATCAAAGTATGTAACGATAATTAGAAATTATTTATTACACATGTTATATTAATTTTAATATCAAGCTTTGAAGAACAGAATTGAAATCGAACTCATTGCGTCGTAGATTTATTTTAACAAAATCGTATGGAGTTTATTGCTTATGCTAACATTGCTTTCCCAAGAATATTCTACCTTTCTCGTGCAAAATGTTTTCATTCCATTCTGAGTTGATTTTTCTTTCTTACGGGAAACACTACAAAGTTGCGGAACGTGAAAGCCAAATATCAAGATGCGCAACATGTTTGAAATCATAAATATAGAACAGCGGAGTTCATGCAATATTTCGATATTTATCAAAGTTTAAAAAATTTCAAATGTTCCATATACGTTGGAAACTTGACAAATCACTGAGATATTATTTATAGTAGTTAAAATGATATTAGGGCTCGTTTTCATCAGGAAAGCAGTGGTAATCCACTGATATTACTCCTACGAATAAACAACGAAAACCGTACCAATGTTAAAAGATGGTTTGAGCTGAAGTTGAAACAAATTAAGCATTTTGTAGATGCATGAATCATATTTTGTTCTTGTCAAATGTTTTCGATTCACTAGCATTCATTCCTCATCAGCACATATTTGAAAGATTGATTGATAATTCATTGCAAGAGATCCAAAATTACTAAATGCAAATGTCTTACACGTGTCGAATTCGAATTTGCTTGAAATTAAATAATTAAACTGGAAGGAGATACGCTACCTCTCCCAGACATAAGAAAACAGGCAATCCAGATTCGGTTTCTTATAAGTGGGAGATACTGTATAAGAAAAATATTACATTCATTTGTACCAGTGAGTATTAGCCGTGGGTACCCGCCAACTTTCAATTAATTGGATCCATCCAGCAACTCAGCGGGAACGATTTGTAGTTAACGATGATTGAACGTGCAACGAGAACGTTAGACGAACGAGATACATCGGTCTGAAAGCGGTGAAACATTTTAAATTAACAAGTTGTACGTTGGCTCTTTAACGAATAAACTTTGCGAAAGCATGCGTGCAAGGTGGTCTAATTTTAAAGCTGATACCTGAATGTTTCCTTTGCTTATGGATTAAAGAAAGAACTGCTCGGGATAAAATGAAACTGTCTCGGATGGCAAACTATAGTAATAGGAGAGAAACTGTACCTGCATTAATTTTTCTTGGTTAGATATATCAGACGTACGTCTATATTTTAAAAATATAAGGTATGCACTTATGCAAAACGAAATATTAATATCATTATACTAATTAATAGAATAAAATAATCGTTTAAAAATAATTCCGTTTTTGTATGTTTTACATATTACTGTACGTCATAAATGCATAAAATTGACCATCTATAAGCATCAGAGATATTCGGATATTCTTAATTTAAATTGTCATATATTCGGGTATCTGTTCCTATTTTTTATTGGTTCCGAAATAGTTTGCATTAAGTATGAAAAATGGAACATCCAACCCACGGAGCTTGCAGGGTAAACTCCCAAGAACTGTTCCTCGTGGCGATCGAAACGGAATCGATCAAAGATCACACGTCTATCGCTCATCTATTTATTTGTTGTTTATTAAAGTTGTTTATTAAAGTGCTTAACTATATTACATTAGCTATTACACTGGATCTATACATTTTTCCATGCAATTATTCTCATTCTTTTTATCTTTACTTTGTCTGACATGACTCCTATATTGATTTAATACTGTTTGCAGTATCTCTGCAACGAGACGAGATTTCTACGATCTCGATAACACTATAATGTAGCGTACTCAATTACTTATTCGTATAAACGCTTAGGAATTAATTCAGGAAGAATCTCGATGCATCGAACTGACATGCTTGAAATTATCATCGATTATACGTAGGATAGAAATATTCTGGTGACAGATAAAGAAATGATTAAGGACTTAGGATTAAGGACGAAGTATCGTTATCTCAGTATTGCCAGAAAAATAATATTTGTTTGTCCTTACGAAATAGAATAAAAATGTTCATCGTGTCATAAAGAAAAATTGAGTAATCAGTAGCAAAATTGAAATTGCAACAATTGATTTTTGAAAATTTATTTCATAACATGATGTCAATCTATATTTTATTTTGTGAGTAATCACTAATATTAACAACGTTGTTGCAGAAAATTAAAACCTTATTCAGCTTTAAAGTGTCCACAACAGCTCGAAATTTAAAGTCGCAATTACTTCTTTCGTTCCTTCGAATGTGTTTCTAGTATCTATTTAATAAGCATAAATAGATAGTCTCAACTCCGGTAATCTTCTAAAAAAAATATACACAAAGAAACAAGTACACGTTTCTTTTATCATATCATTCGAAGCGATCACTGTACATCAGAGACGCGCAATCATGACATAATCGTGTATTCGAATTAAATGTATATATTTGTCCACCGAGAATCTCTGTCGATTTTCGAAATAAAATGGGGAAACGAATCGCTAATCGATTAGCGAACACAAATACGTAAGACGTTTACGTATCTCGTTAATCGTGTTTAAATTGATCACGTTAATCGATTAAACTAAACCGCCTCTGACAATTAGGGCTGGGACTGCGTAGTGATGTTTTCTTTATTCGAGTATTCGAAGATCGATAATTAAAATATTCGACAAGTAGATGTAGTCTGAATATTCGAACACTTCAAAAAATAAAATATTCGACAAGTATAGCTCGAATACTATTCAAATACTCGAGTATTTAAATGTATCACCGATATCTGTGTTATCGAGGTAGTCTAAATTTATGAATAATTTCTTACTTGAATAATAATAGTCGAAAAATGATTGTTAAACAAATATTCGAAGTTCGTTCGTAGGCATTCGAATATGCGCCTGTAAAATATCTGAGTATTAAATTATTCGACTAGTTCCAGCCCTTATAGCGAACGTGGCTTTCACAGTGGCGCGAGTAGACATCTCGAGCTCCTGAGTTTAATTTTTAAGAACCTCGAGCGCGTTAAGTGTATTTTCCTTATCCTGCTTTTACGTGTTAGATAAGACAAATATGTCGAACTGTTAGAGATTTTCCACGTCGTATTCTAGCATTCCCGAATGGTCCAAACGAAGAATCGATGTAGCCGCAGGATATAACTTTTGTAAAATATCCCTGTTGACGTGGTGGCTCAATTACGCGACTAATTAAAGGAACGAACGTTAAGCAAGTTTAATGACTCATTACTCGACAGACTTCCGTTCGCGTTAATTATGAATTCGTGAAAGCGTATAATTTATACGTGATTGTGAGGTATGTGATCGCGCGCGTGGATGTGTGTGGGTGTATGAAAATTTATTTTATCGATAGGGTGAAACATGTTTGTAGTTACTATACATGTGCAAATATGTTTGAAAGGTGTGCTGGAGGTTGCCTAAGTCGTGACATGGTCGTGGAGTCGTTTCAGATTCACGACTCGACAGACTTTATATTGTTCCGCATTTTTTCGTTCGCCATCGCATAATCCGCGATCACGCGGCGATGGTCGAATCTCCGCACTATTTGTTTGTATTTATTTTTACACCGACAGCCCGTGCAACAACAAAGTGTATCGATTTTTTTACGCCGACGTCTGCGTGTAAATATTCGAATAAACTACAAGAAAAACGTGACTGGCGTTTACAAATCGCATTCTGCGTTGCGAGTGGCTCGCGAAAATTTCATTTGGTTTGACCTATTTATTTCCAGGGAAGCTCCTGTATATCGTAGGTCGCAGGAGAATGGTAATTATTAGACTGTGGATCTTCAGCTAACAATAAGTAATACATAATATTTCATGTAAATACAAATATATGTATAAAAATCCACAGTCTAATATGGTGAAGTGATAGTGTTCAACCACCACCAGAGGAATATGTAAAAAAAGGAGTAAAGAAGATAGAAAAAACAGGGAGAAAGAAGATAACGTATGTGGAGTATACAATAAATCGAGTATCTGGATTACGGAACATTTACAAGTAGGTATTAACAAATGCATCGAAACGGTTAACGGTATTCTTTGTTTGGATTTTAATATTTAGCAAAAACAAGAGGCCACTGGAAAAACAGAGAGAACAGTAAATTCCTTCACGAGTGTTCTTTCGTGTTGAATTTGTTAACAATTTATCGATATTCAAAGCGGCATGTCGCTGAATCTGTTGATCGACTACGAGTCGATACGTCCTCGTGATTCGCATTTGGGATGAATAAACAACGGGTAGCAAGTGTCGTGTATTAAATCGTAATTGGGCTTTTTCGACCAATCCTCGGGTGAATTTTACGGAAATTGAGTCGCGAGTTCCATTAATTTTATTGAAATCGAAGCGACAGTGGTTTTCACACTCCACAATCATAAGGAATCTCGTAATTCAAGCAGGGTTTTGGTTTGCATGAATGAAAAGTCGATTTATTCTTTCATTGCATTTTCTTGGGATTTATCTAATACTATCTGGCACGGAATAATTACTTTTATGAAAAGATCGTTCTTACTTAGGCTTTGGGTAAAATTATTTCAATGGAGACGAAAAATCTCAAATTAATTTTCTAGTCTCTATAACTTTTAATACGAACAGAATAAAAAGTAATGGATATGTTTTAAATGCGAGACAATTTAAGAAAACTGGATTTTAAATATAACGAGATGAATGATACTACTGCTTTGCTTATATTTTTATTATCGGTAAAAGTAATCTTCATAAATACGACAAGAATGAAGTACCAATTTCGATCATTCCGCTATGTATAATCCTTTATTTTCTCTTCTGTAAGTTCGTGGACTCGCACCAAGGAGTTTGCGGAACAGAGTTTGAGAAACGCTGTTCTATTACAACGAACATATTATCACAAGGTCCTGCACAAACGTCGAGCTTCCCAACGTTAATTCCAACACAGCTACGTGACAGTAGTTCGATTTCACAAATTCGTCCTTTTTCGACGATTCTTTTCCCTTCTTCTTTTTCCTTTTCGTAGTCCCTTCTGTCACTTTCTCTATCGCGGATTTTCCGTTCACGTTTGGCCGTTGGAAACGTATACCGAATTCCACCTGTAAAACGTTTTATAAATATTTTATTTTGAGCTGAAAATATTATTAGATATATTCTTGGAAATCATGACAAGGTAACCTGTTACCGCAAAAGTGAGATTTACTTTGCTTTAAAATGTGGAAAGAATATTTATATAATTATGTACATTATACGTTTGCGGTACCACTAGCAAGTTTTTCTTTTTAATTTAGCGAAGAGAAACAAGGATGGCCCGAAGAAAATGACGAAACCCGATCTTCCTAAGTTACGTGAAAATGTTAGTAAGAATAAACGACTTAAACAGGTTTGAAGTGATCGTCTTTAAGTTCTTAGGACATCTCGAGCTTAAATTAAATTTGTAATTTTATATGCGATTGCTTGTAAAATTCTATCATCTTTTCACTCGTAGGTGTGAAATCGCTTTTAAATCGAATTGCTTGTAAAGTTGTATAATTTCTTCATTAGTAATATCATTGATCGTTAGCAAAAATTATTCATGCTAAATCCTTACCGATCCATCCAAGAAATCGTATCGTGTGTAGCTCGCCTAAGATTGAAACGTTTACACAAGTGTTTGGGCGATAGAGAGTTCGAAAAATCGAGTCACTATAATATCTTTTCCGTTCGTAGAAGTGCAATAAAGTGGATAAGAAGATTGGCATAGTTTTCAAAGAAGGCAGTCGTATACGTCTACCATATCTTCCATTCTTATTGCGATAGGTGCGCGAGATATCAGAAAATTGAAGTACCTCGTAGAATGTCGACGTTAGGTAAGAATTTCATTTTCCCCGCTGGAGAAAACGGTGTTGATATTTTCACAAAGGCTTAAGATTTTTCTCGAACGAAAGTGTCTAACCTTTTTTCTCTCTGGTACCAGCAGTTGCATATTTTCGTCGAGGTTTAAAAAAGAAAAGCAACGATCCGCGGACCTTTCCAATTTTCCCCCGAATATCGCTAATTCCTCGTCCCGTCGTAGCACATCGCTGAATACCGGTTTCCTCGGTGTTTTTCTTTCGTTTTCCACGTCGATCTTGCGCCTCGTTTTACTTTTGCTCGATTTCTCTGGAGATTCCTCCGTCGTGCGCGGAATATTGCCTTGAAACGCGTCGATTAAACGAAGTCGGAAAGTCAACGGGCAAATTCCAGTGTTTTGTATCTGGAAAACGTTTTCCAGGGAGGACGGTATTAGAAAATAGATGCGCGGCGACTGTTCCAATTTAATTAAACGAAATTTAATGTAATGCTCGTAGATACGTAGCGCGAAATAAGGAAGTCGATCATTTTATTTTATGATTTGAAGATATATTCTGGTCTGAATGTCTAAAAGGAGAGGCTTCTTTAGAAATTAAAAAAACGAGGTCATACAATAATAAATAATTTTATATTTAACACATATCATAATCAAAATTTTGCTTGGGTCATTTTATTATTAATGTCGTAACCATGATATTCCATGGCACGTTTGTTTCAAATAAAAAAGACAGAAATTCTTCATATGTCTGACCATATGTTTATGGTGACTACTAGAATAGAGTCGGTTAATAAATACATTTTATATTTAACGTTTCCTAACAAGAAAAACGTGTTTAGAGTCTCTCGTAATCTCTATACGTTATTTACACATTCACAACATATGATTATTCAAAAACAACTATCCGTCATTTATTTCCCATATCGACAAGTACACCCACTCAATGACCTCGCATTTAAAATAAATCGTTCGCAGAATAATAACAACAATCCACGCTCCCCGGTCATAATTTTCTCCCACTGTTTCGGCGCTTGAAATTTCCACCGACCTCGTTAGACTACGCCACGTGGAAAATTTATTCATCGTCACTTCGTTAAATTTTTCTTCGCTGGGCACACTTGCTCATCAAAATTC